TAGTATATTTGTTCGTAGGAAATTGCACGTCATAAACACTCGGCATTGGCTAATTAAGAGGGAACATTTTCTGCTTTTGAGCCAAAATGGTAAGCTTCGTCATGTACGTCATTATGTGTCCGTAATACGTGTTCATATTTTTTTACATATTTGTCTAACCTTCCTACTTGTCAGTATAAACGTAGAGGTCACATGTATAGAAGACCAGCCCTTTCCTCGTCTTCGTCCCCATCCCTTTCCTCTTCCCATGTCCTTTCATCTAACCATCAACCACTATATGCTGATGGACAATATGGACACGTTGGCCCTTCTTCCAACACTCAAGAACATGTTAGGGGAATTGGCCACATGCGAACTGAATCTCCTCTAATTCCATCTCCTTTAGATCTATCTCCTTCCGTTCCACCTTATTATCCAGCGCAACAATCGAATAATGACGGAAACACAGGTGAAGAAGATAACCGATTCATGCTATACCCATTTGGAGATTCGTAAGTACTTCATTTTTTTTTAGTATATGTAATATTTATGGCTTTAGATATGGATGTCAACTGAATTGTCGATGTTGCACAATATTCGTATGTTTGCAGATTCACGAATGCTCCGTTTGTTGTGAGGGAACTGAATAAAATAGTTAAAAACTATTGGATGGGGCAGTATATATACAGAAGTGTTCCACAAGAAGTGAAAGATTTGTGGTGGAATGAGTTCAAGGTAAGTTTTAGATATTCTATTTTCTCACCAACTAAGTTCGGTGTAGTATATTGATGGTTAACAATGATGTAAAGGGACCATAACAATGATACTAAAAGGACCAGATATTTTCCCCGAGATGAACTTAACAAAATCTATCGCCGAATTGTCTGGTGCATGGTAATGGATATGTGACCATCATAATAACTTTCAGTTTTTCTTGTATTGATTGCAGTGGAAGTTCAGGTGGGCTGAAGAGGAAGAGAATGAAGTGAGAAGAATTTTTCAGAAGAAAGTCAGTGATTTTATACGAAATGTGATGAATAGAGCGAAGATCAAGAAAGTGAAGCCGGCTTTCATTACAGCTGACAATTGGACGGAAATTAACAGAATTTGGAAAACTGAAAAGAGTCAGCAAATCAGTGAGCAGAATAAAAAGAATCGATCTTCTAGTTCTAGTGAAGGGTCTGCCACATATGCTGAGGGCTCTATCAACATTGGGGAGCATCGCAAACGACTGGTAAGTCTGTTAAATAAGTTATAAGTTAATTTAATTTAATTACTCATGTTTACATTTTGTAGGCACATGAATTGGGGACGGAACCCACATTTGCAGCTACATTTGAACGCACATTTCAAAAGAAAGATAAGACATGAACTGGCGATCGAGCAAAAGCTGTTAAGGTATGTAAGGTTATACTTTGGACTTTATGGAAACTAGAATGAAAACCGTGAATGCTTTTAATGTTTATGGTAGATATATATATGAAGTTATTTTATTTTCATCTATATTGTTAATGTAGGAAAAATATGATGAACTTTTAATGAGCAATGCTAGTGGTAGTTATGGTTGTGCTGCGTCTAAGCCTGAGGTTGACAGTATGGCATTATGGATGGAGGCAACGGGTGGGATGAAAAAAGGAAAAATATTTGGGATGGGATCCTTGTCAAGGATGTACATGCCGAATCATGCTGGAACTTCATCATCCAATGCGACTGGTCGAAGGAGGACACGACATGACGAGCAATTGACCCAAGAAGTGAACCAACTGAAAAATATAATTGTAGAGAGGGACGAAGAAATAAATGACTTGAAACAACAAATGCAAATCGTTATGCGACACCTCAACATCAATCGCGATGAGGTTCCTCCTGTACCTCCCGCCAATCCAATAGGTGATGGGCACAATGATGAGCGACACAATGATGCTGAGATTGATGATGATGATGATGATTTTCTTGGTCCTTTCTAGTTAAAATTCCCAAAATCGGGGGTAAGCTTGCTTCACAATCTTTCATGACATAAGTGCAGTTTCACCCAATATGTTCCTGCCCTACAATTACTTTTTGTGCACAACTTTCTTACAACTAGGTTCTTTGCTTGCGAAAAACTGAAAATTTAGAGATCCCAGGATGACATGCTTGTTAAAAAAAATCATGATATTTGAACATTGTAGAAATACATGCCTTAATTGACTTTGAGTCCTCTCTTCCTGGGAATTGATGTTGGTAATTCACCTCTCTAAGTCATTAAACTGTTGAATGCTGTTTGGACAAGGATCTAATTTTTCCTAGGTGACAGAAATACGGTTTACCAGGGTGAAAAAACTACAGTGGATGTCAAAGTTGACTCATATTCATACGTAAGAACATTGATGTTCGTCCTGAAATGTTTTTTTGTTAACCCTCTTACTTGTTTTTTTATACCTAGTTCCACATCCATGCATAAACAATTCTTTTATATTCTGGACTGATTGAATATCTTTATTTATGTATCCACATTTCATCAGGTGTCGACAAAAGTGACTGCTTTTGATGTCCTGTTGAGTACCAAAGCTGCCCAATCTTGTGTCTGGTTTGTCGATTTTTCGTTTTTTAAGCAGAATCTATGGTTGTCTCGCCTCCTATGAATGTTTTGAATGTATTATAAGATTGGATATCAAAAAGCATCATGTCAGACTTTGTAACTTTGCATATATCATTATTTTTTGCAGACTAGCATCTTTCCTTCAGTTATATTTTTCAATTATATGGCATTGTGTCTGGTTTGTTCGTTTTCTATTTCTGAAGCAGAATCTATGGTTGTCTCGTGTCCTTTGATTGTTTTCAATGTATTACATGATATTCATTAATACGTAGCTATTGATATGGACAAGATTTGATGGTCGAAATGGTGAAAAATTTGCGACGAATATTTAGAGGCGAATTTTGCGACCATTACAGTTCGTGGCTAATTTGCGACGAATAAGTAGCGACGAATCAAGTTCGTGGCTAATTTGCGACGAATACATTTTGCGACGAACAAAGTTCGTGGCTAATTTTGCGACGAATTTTGCAACGAATTTTGCGACAAATTTTGTGACAAATTTTGCGACGAATAAAGTTCGTGGCTAATTTTGCGACGGATTTTGCGACGAATTTCGTGACAATTTTGCGACGAATAAAGTTCGTGGCTAATTTGCGACGAATTATTTGCAACGAATTTTGCGACGAAATTTGTGACGAAATTTGCAACGGATTTTGCGACGAAATATGCGACTAAATTTGCGACGAATTTTGCGAGGGTTAGTGTTCGTGGCTAATTTACGACAAATTAATTGCGATGAATTTTGCAACGGATAATGTTCATGGCTAATTTGCGACGAATTTTTCGACGAATTAATTGCGACGAATTTTGCGACGGATAGTGTTCGTGGCTAATTTGCGACGAATTATTTGCGACTAATTTTGCGACGAATTTTTTTTCGTCGCAATTTTGCTACGGAAATTGAAATTTTCCGTCGCAAAATTTTGCGACGACCTATTAGCGACGGAATTTTTTCCGTCGCTAATTTCGTCGCAAATGCGATTTGCGACGGATTTTGCTTCTTTTTTTTCCGTCGCTAATCCGGCGTTTTTTTGTAGTGGAAGTTGTTTCTTTCGTTTCACTTGTTTGCGAATTCTTTCGGACCATTTTCCAGACCAATGTCACTGTGTGAGCGTCTTAATTTGCGTTTAATGTTCTTCTTTTTATCTTTTCATTTTTTATTTTTGTGGAAAATTCCAAATAATGACATGACGTGCCCTCATTTTCTCAAATAAGACATGAAGTGAACTTTATATCAAATAAGGGTCTGAAGTGGCATATTAGTCTCAAATAAGGGTCTGAAGTGGCATATTAGTCTCAAATAAGGGCATGAAGTGATCATGACATTTTCAAATAAGGGCCTGACCTCACCGGTCGCTGACCGGTGAAATATTATGGCCGATCAAGGGCATTTTTGTCAAAGACAATTTTAATTTTATATTATTTTTTTCTTTTTTTTCCTTTCTTTTGTTTTTTTCTTTTTCTTTTTTTTATTTCTTTTCTTTTTTCCTTTTTCTGGTTTTCTCTTTGTTCTTCGCCGGTGGCTAGCTACCGGCGAAGCCCAAGAAGGGCTGGGCGAGGGTCGCCCATGGCCGATCTGGCAAGGGTCGCCCTCATTGGCAATAGGTGAGGCCGTCCTCGCCAGCCATGGGCGAGGCCGGCCTTTGCCAAATTTGAGTGAGGCCAGTCTCGCCTCAGCGAGGCGACCCTCGCCCTGGGTGAGGCTAGAAAGACGATCGACTCTAACTCAATATCCGCAAGCTTGTCGGAATCCGAAACAATGTGAAAATAGGGGAAAGTTGAGGAGGAAACCCTTGGACTGATCGTGAGAGCCTCCTTCATGGCGATCGGAGCGTTGGCCGTAGCCATGGTAGCTCAGATTTGAGGGTCGAGGAAGCCTCGAGGCGAAGACATCTGGGAGGAGGGTTCCGGGCATTGGGGTGGGTGTTCAAGTCACTGCACAAATCTGATGCAGCGATGAAACCCTGAGGGGGGGAGGCCGACCCTTGCCCGATCTTGGCGAGGGCCGACCTCGGCCATGGCCGGCGAGGCAACCCTAGCCCAGATCTGGCGAGGGCAGCCTTGCCCTCGACGAGGCCGGTGAGGCCTGTTGCTGGCAAGGGGTGCCCTCGCCTAACCCTTCCCGACCTTCCGGCCACCGGCGAAGAACAAAGAGAAAATTAGAAAAAGAAAAAAGGAAAGGAAAGGAAAAAAGAAAGAAAAAAATTCAAAAAAGTTAAAAGACGAAAATGCTCTTATCATCATGAAAGTCTTGCCCTTTTTTTGAAACAAATATAGCCACTTCAGAGCCTTATTTGAAACAAAATTCACTTTAAACCCTTATTTGAGAAAATGAGGGTACTTCAAACCCTTATTTGGAGTTTTCCCTTGTTTTTGTGGTAGCTTCGGTCTTAATGCGTGTGAGGTTAACCACTACCCTCTTTCATGGGTTATCTATCAGGGTTGCTGCTGATCTGGTTTGCAATGGTGATGCTCAATTGGTTCCGATTGGCGGAGACTATGCTGAAATCGTTGTCGTGCATCACGGTGAAACGGACTGGAATGCTGATGGAAGATTTCAGGTTTTCTTTGCTTCTGGATTTCTCTTTAGCCTTCTTATTCTGTAGAAATTGCTGACTACCTATGACGATATAAAATGCGCATGTAGTACACTAGTTGATTTTTGCCCATTGTGTGACAAACGAACTAGATACAATGCAAATGTGTTTAGTTGATAGAGGCATCATATTGGTGATTGATATCAGTTCTTGTCAAGCTATGTAGCTTCATTGGGCTACATTTATCTGTAATTGCATTGTGAATCCACCAGTACAACTGTACAAGCCTTTGCTTGAGAATACTATGTTGATTTTCCTACTTCTCTTTTCCTATATAAAATTGGAACTCTCGATGGCAAGGAAACACTCAGGATGAGCCCAAAAGATGATAGAGCAAGATGTAATGGCAAAGAATATGTACTCTCCACCGCTAAGGTTTCATATCTTCTATTACAGCTTTTGTGAGTAAGTGATCAACATTCCTTACGTGATAGGACATGCCTAATCGAATTAGAGAAAAAGCATTACTAGGCTGTGGTTTCTCCCTATTTGAGTTTAAGCAAATATATCTCTAATTGTGCTGATATCTGCCGTCTCATGCATTTGGTTTAAGAATTGGTGTCTGCCTCTTTTTCTATTTACCTTCAAATTTATTTCATTACATCTAATAGGGAACTCTAGATGTCGAATTGAATGAAATTGGGAGGCAGCAAGCAACTGCGGTGAGTATTTTCTGCGATATGTCATCCCTTTTTTTGGACTAACCAACAGGTTTATTAACAACTTCTATTATTTTCCCTGAAAGGTGAGTGAAAGGCTGTCCAGAGAAGGTAAAATCACTGCAATTTACTCATCTGACCTAAAACGAGCTTTGGAGACGGCAAATCTGATTGCAACTGCTTGTGGTGGACTAGAGGTATGAATGTAGTGAGACCGTTCTTGATCTGGCATTCTATCTATGAGAATTACACGTGAATTTTGGCATTATGTGTTACAAAACCCAACGTATACTAAAATTTCAGATAGTGATGTAGAGCTAAAAGATTCCATTAGATGTTATCTTTAGGGATAAGTGCACTAGAAGTTCTAAAACTTATCAGGAAAGTGCAATTGAGTCCTAAAACTTTCAAAAAAATGTGATCAAGTCCTAAAACTTATCACGAAAGTACAATCAAGTCTTAAAACTTTCAACAAGTGCAATCAAGTCCTAAAACTTTTCACGAAGGTGCAATCAAGTCCTAAAACTTATCACAAATGTGCAATCAAGTCCTAAAATTTTCAAAAAGTACAATCAATGGAAGGACTTGATCGAACCAATTTGACAAGTTTTAGGACTTGTTTGCACTTTCGTGACAAGTTTTAGGACTTATTTGCACTTTTTGAAAGTTTTAGGACTCAAGTGCACTTTCCTAACAAGTTTTAGGACTTAATTGCACATTATGAAAGTTTTAGGACTCAATTGTACTTTCGTGATAAGTTTTAGGACTTTGAATGCACTTATCCCTTGTCTTTATTAGTTGGAAAGTTCAGAGTGTTGTAATAGTTCGTGTTCATTCTTACAGTTTGATTAATGATTGGGTCCTCTGAAATATCTTGCATGTTGTTTTCAAATGAGAATCTAGATTATCAAGGATCCAGGTCTCCGGGAAAGAAATTTTGGGGAGCTTCAAGGCCTTCAGCCACATGTTGCAGCTAGTGTCTGTCCTGAAGCCTATAAAGCCCTTCAATCGCAGAAGACGGATCAAGAAATTCCGGTGGGTTTTGATTTGCACAGAGCTTGACATAATGCACCTGATTTTGATCAATTTTCATTTTGCCACTTAACTTTCAATATGGAAACTATGCATAATGAGGATATTGCAAAATTCATAGTTTTTGTCATTGGAGTTGTTCAATGGTTCAGGTGATGTGTTTTTTTCTATATGTTGTATACACAGCTATAAAAATTTCAGTTCCATTTTTTTGGCTGTTTAATGGATTCACATCTTGCATGTTCTTTTTAATTTGTAAAACATAGCAAAGCTCACGTCATGTGTTAGGCTTTACATAACGAAGGATGGCAAGACAAAACATTTATTGAGAAAGATTTTGGCAGTCTGCAGGGTTTAAATTGCTTCATAAGTGGAATGTCTGATCAGTCATTTCTCTTGTTTCTTCTGCACACAGGGTGGGGGTGAAAGTGTTGATCAGGTTTATCAGCGGTGCACTACGTGTTTGCGAAACATCAGTATGAAGCACAAAGGTAAAGAGATTATTTATGTGGCTTATTCACCAGAATTGATGAGTGTTCTACTATCCTAAATGCGATGTTATTAGTTTTATACATGAAAGTGATTCCGTGCATAGTGTTGACCAAGCACTGTAATACTCATTTTTCTCTGGTTCGAATCTCCATAGCATCTTTTTTTACAGGAGTTTTTCCCAGATTACCTTTTTCAGTCTCGAAAACTACGCATCACAGGACTTGGTGAACAGCTTTTATTGTAGTTTTAATGCTTTCTAAGACTTCAATGATGCTCTTTGCTTTTAAATGCCCTTTCTTTGGTTTGCTTGCTTTGTTATAGAAGAAGAAAGACTAGGACAACGACAACCATGATTTAAATGCGCTCTCCGTTCACTAAAGAATTTCTAATACAATTTAAGCTGGGAACAGAAATTGCAAATAAAACTTTTCTTCACTGCGCAGGAGAGCGAGTAGTAGCGGTCACTCATGGTGGGGTACTCCGAACGCTTTATATGCGGGCTTGCCCAAATAAACAGCCTGTGAAGTTCCTGAATACTTCTGTCAACATTTTCCACTTGTCTGATGGGGACAACTGGGTCTTCAAATCCGGGGGTTATGTTAGTCATCTCAGCCAAATAGAATATCTGAGAACACTGTTTGGTGGGGATAGAACTTCTGGTTAGATCAAACTATTCTGGATGTTGTTCTAGTAGCCCTACCTGTAATGAGGTACGATAAGGCCCGCTGAGAAGCATGATTCACTCTCTTGTTATTGTCCAAGGATAATTTCATTCTTGGTCCTTACGTCATTCGATTTGTCCAATTTAAGTCCTTGAATTCTCAATTTGCGCTATTTTTTTGGTAGAAAAGGTTATTTAATCCATTCTCAATTTGCGTTATTGGATCCTTTAGAGTTTGTAATTTCTGTAATGAGTCTCCTTAATTAACTTAACCATTCTAACATTTCGACCAAAAACATTAATTAACCGTTCTAAAATAGCTACTGATAGGGCAATCTTAAATATTTGAAAAAGAGAAAAAAACAGAGCATATCTTTGGAAAATATGCTTAATAAAGAGAAAAAAAGAGCAAAACAGAAAAGGAAAAAGGTTGAAGAAAAGTTTTGTTTTAAAAAAAATAGTTTTGATGAGCTTTAATGTTTCATATTAGCAATTATCGAAAATTGTACCATTTTTTGTTACCACCCGCCTGGGTGGCGCTGCTGGAGCGCGCACTCTTCCTCTCGCAAAAGGTTGAGTGTTCGAATCCCGGGCGCCGCAGGGTGACTTAACCGGTGGCACGTGTGTGGTGGCTAGCACGTGTCGCCCCCAGGGTTTACTCCCCGACTGTCGGTCGTGCGGGGTTCCCTGGGTTACCAAAAAAAAAAAAAATATGTCCTTGGAAGACCATTGGCTCTGTTTGTTTCGCAGAAAACCTTTTTCCTAGAAAATATTTTCCTCATTTTCCCGCATTTGGTTCGCTTAGAAAAATGAGTCAACGGATAATATTTCCTAGTCAATGAAAAAGGTTTTCCTACCCTAAGTTAAATTCAGGAAAATGATTTCCTCTTTCAAAAATCAGAAATCATTTTCCAAAATATAATTAGGTATCGGTGCTTGGATCAGGAACTTTGTGCTTGGGCACAAGAACCCCAATGCTCGTTCCCGAGTTCTTGGCAATAGGATCCCTCACAATCGGGCTCAGGACCATCGAGGTTGAGTCCATGTCCATCTAAACCGTGCTCGATACCTTGGCATCTGTGCCCAAGTCCATCGAGGCCGAGCCCGAGACACTGGTGCCTAGGATGCTAGGCCCGGAAATTGCTGACATAGAAGTCAGCCGTCCTACACGGCACGACCGACGTTGATCTAAACAGTTTTTTTAATTTTTTTGAAAAATTTTGTATTTTATATTATTATTATTTTATTTTATTTTTGTCTTTCTTCCTTTGCCGATCGCCGAGCCTCGGCAATGATCGACAATCAGCATAAGAGAGGGCCAATGAACACAAGCATTGCCAACCTCAGGCAAGGCTCCACCTTGCTAGATCCGGCGTAGTCGAGCATTGCCGGCATCGGGTGAGCTTAACCTTGTCGGCCTCGGGCGAGCTTCATCTCACCGGGATCTAGCAAGCTAGAGCCTCACTAGAGGCAAGCGATGTCGACCTTCACTGGCCCTCTCTTGTGGCTGGCCATTGAGGCCCAGTGACTAGTTGAGGAAGAAAGAAAACGAAAAGAATGAAAAGAAGAAAAACAATAATAAATAAAATAAAATAAAAAATTTTATTAAAAAATCAATTTTTTAAATAATTGTAAAAATTGTCCACATCAGCTAACCATGCTAGGAGGACGGCTGTCAACCATGTCAACAAATTTGGTAATTTTCCTATCTTAATAGTATGTCTATTTAGGAAAATCTTGATTTTCCATACTAAAAGATAGAAAATATTTTCCAATTCAGTTTCAAGTCTCAGCTAACACACTAGAAAAATATTGACCTCTTGAAATTTTTTTTTTCAGAAATGTCACATTTTCCGCGAAACAAACGAAACTTAAATTAATATAATAACAATATTAAACATTTTCATATAGTGCAGGGATTAAATTAAATATATACCAAAAGTTCATGAACTACATTGCACAAGTTTAAAGTTTAGGGATGACATTATATATTGAAGCAAAGTTCAGAAGCCATTTGTGTTATTATCTCTATTTTAGTGTTTGTTTGAGGGAAAGTGTTTCTCTGAATCCGTTTTCCGGATTTTCACCCGTTTGGTTCACCGAAAATGGTTAGTCAACTGAAAACACTTTCCATTCAAGGAAATCATTCATATATAAAATTAGGAAAGTGAATTCCCTAATAAAAGAAGCTGAAAACATTTTCCAAAACTGCTCATATTAAATTTGCTAATACTTTTTCTTTTCTTTTCTTTCTTTCTTTCTTTTTTTCTTTTTTTTATTTTCTTTCTAAGAAGGAAAACATTCATGTATTTTCTTTTCTTAATAAAAATAATTTAAACTAATTTAGAAAATATAAATTTTTTGATAATTTTCACCATTAGATTTTCTTTACCAAACAACTGAAAAATACTTTCCAAGTCTTTTTTAGGTTTTAGCCAAACATCGAAAAATGAACTCATTTTCATGGAAAATGACTTCCTAGAAAGTATTAACATTTTACGCGAAACAAACGCATTCTTATACTCACTTGTCGTACCACAAGCTGGGGTAAATGCAACATGAGTATCTTCTTTTAAGGTAAATGTGGCACGAGTGTACTAGTTTGAGAATTTTTTGGACGCAAAAATTAGTTTGGGATAACTGTGACACGGGGATACCAGTTTGAGAGTTTTTGTGACATGGTAATTAGTTTGGGGTAAATATGACAAAGGTGTACCGGTTTGAAGTTTTTGCTGGTATTAGCCCTAGCCCTAATGTTTACGGTGTCTTACACTATTAATATTTTATAAGGATAGTTACACAAATGGTGCCTAAACTTTGGCTCAATGTGCAATATCGTCTCCAAACTTTTAATTTATTCAATATGGCTCATGAACTTTAAATTTGTTCAAAGCGGTCTTTAAATTTTTTGTACATATTCAATCTTGTCTTTGACTACATGAAAATGTTCAATAATGTCCTTGAATTCTGAACTTGAATTAATAAAAGGACAAAATAGAACATTTTCATATAGTTCATGGATTAAATTGAATATGTACAAAAAATTGAGGGATCATATTGAACAATTTTAAAGTTCAGGGATCACATTATATATTGAGCCGAAGTTCAGAGACTATTTGTGTTATTTTCCGGATACAAAGATACCCAAAGTCCACTAAGACAAGTCGAATTGGGCTTGGGCTGGTTGTTTCTCTAGGTGGGCCCATTTTACCGGGCCCATCCGCTTTGTGGCGCGTAGAAAGCAAGCCGGAGAGGTCGAACCTGATGCTTCGCGCAAAGCATCAGCGCACTGCACACCCCGCACATTCCAATTCCACCGGTTTCTTCTTCTTCTTCTTCGTCATTCTCGTCGTCGTTTCGCACATTGTCGCTCCTGAACTCGAAGATTGGGATTGAGACTCGTTTCATCGCTCAACGGCGATCGAGAACGCAAGGTCCAGAGCCGAATCGCGAGCCTGCCATGTCGGCTTCGAACTCGAGGTCTGACACTGTCCTCTATTGTGGTCGACTTTTTGCTTCGTGTGTCGTGACGTTCCGCGAAATTTGAAGGACAATGAAAACCTCTGGAATCGCTGAGCTCGATATATTTTTGTGCTTGCGTTCTGTTTTTTGGCATGTTGGTGATGATGAGAACTTGCTGCTGTCAAACCAAATTATCTATCGACTGTTGTTCCGATCGATTCGGTTGAGTTTCGATGTTGTTTTGATCACCAATGTCACTGTGTGAGCGTCTTAGGTTGAGTTAAATGTTCGTTCTTTTGATCTTTTTTGTTATTATTGTTAGCTTCTGTCTTCATATTGCGTGAGGTTAACCAGTACTCTTTCTTCCCGCTTTCTGTCAGGTTTGCTGCTGACTTGGGTTGCGACGGCATTGCTCATTCGGTTCCAGTTGGCGTAGCCTATGCCGAAATTGTTGTCGTGCGTCACGGGGAAACCGAGTGGAATGCTGATGGAAGAATTCAGGTTTTCTTTGCTTCTGGGTTTCTCTTTAGCCTTCCGATTTTATAGAACTTGCTCATCACCTATTATAATATAAAAGGTGCATGTAGAACAGTATTTTATTGTTGGACATTGTATGACAAACGAACAGGATACAATGCAAATGCTAAGTTAATAGAGGCGTCGTTTTGGTGAATGATATCAGTTCTTCTTAAGCTATGTAGCTGCATTGGGCTACATATATCTGCAATTGCATAGCGAATCCACTATTATTAGCCTTTGGTAAATGATATCAGTTCTTGAGAATACATGTTGATTTCCATACTGCTCTTTTCCTATGTAAAAATGAAACCTTTGATGGCAAGGTCACATTCAAGGTGAACCAAAAAGATGACAGGGAAGATGTAATGGCAAAGAATATGTACACTGTACCTCTAAAGCTTCGTACTTTCTATTACAGTTCTTGTGATCAAGTGATTTATAACATTATAGGACATGTCACTGCCTAATAGATTTAGAGAAAAAGCATGACTAGGTTGTGGTTTCTCCTCATTTATTTATGAGTTTAAGCAAGTATATCTCCAATTGTGCTGATATCTGCCATCTCATGCATTTTGTTTAAGAACTTGTTTCTGCCTCTTTTCGTATTTACCTTCGGTTACTTATTTCATTACAATTAACAGGGACATCTGGATATCGAATTAAATGAAATTGGGAGGCGGCAAGCAACTGCAGTGAGTATTTTCCATGATATGTTGTCCCTTTCTTTGGAGCGACCAACAGGTTTATTTCCTTCCTCTGGTGTTTTTTTCTGAAAGGTGGGTGAAAGGCTGTCCAGAGAAGGTAAAATCTCTGCAATTTACTCATCTGACCTAAAACGAGCTTTGGAGACGGCAAATCTAATTGCAACTGCTTGTGGTGGACTGGAGGTATGAATATAGTGAGACTATTCTTAATCTGGCATTCTATTTATGAGAAATACTCATGAATTTTGGCATTATCCATTTGGTGTTACAAAACCCAAAATATACGTAAATTTCAGACAGTGATGTAGATCTAAAAGATTCCATTAGAGGTTATCTTTATTTGTTGGAAATTTCAGAATGTTGTAAAAGTCCGTGTTCATTCTTGCAGTTCGATTAATGATTGAGTCCTCCGAAATATCTTGCATGTTGTTTTGAAATTTGAATCTAGGTTATCCAGGATCCAGGTCTCCGGGAAATAAATCTAGGGGAGCTTCAAGGCCTTCACCCACGTGCTGCAGCTAGGGTCTGTCCGGAAGCCTATAAAGTCCTTCGATCGCAGAGGACAGATCGAGAAATTCCGGTGGGTTTTGATTTGCGCTGAGCTCGAAAAAAAGCACCTGACTTTGGTCAATTTTCATTTTGCCACTAACTTTCAATGTGGAAACTATGCGTAATGTGTGTAAATATTTCAAAATACATAGTTTTCGTCATTGGAGCTATTTAAATGGCTCACTCGATATTATATACACAGCTGGAAGAATTTCTGTCCCATTCTTTTGGCTTTTTTGATGGATTCACATCTTAAATCTTCTTTTAATCCATAAAAGATAGTAAAGTTCTCATCTCATATATTAGGCATTACAAAAAGAAATAGTTACTAGATAAACATTATCAAGAGAGAGTTTGGCAGTCTGCAGGGTGCAAATTGGTTCATAAGTGGAATGTCTGATCTGTGTTTCTCTTGTTTCTTCTGCACACAGGGTGGTGGTGAAAGTATTGATCAGGTTTATCAGCGCTCCACTACGTGTTTGCGAAACATCAGTATGAAGCACAAAGGTAAAGAGATTATTCATGTTGATTATTCGAGTGTTCTACTAAGCTAAATGTGATGTTAATAGTTTTATACATGAAAGTGACTCCTCGCATGGTGTTTACCGGGCACTATAAGTTATACTTTGCTGGTTCGAATCTCCTTAGCTTCTTGTAAGGAGTTTTTCCCGGATTACCTTTTCTGGTCTCGAAAACTAAGCATCTCAGGACTTTGCTGAACAGCTTTAATTGTTGTTTTAATGCTCTCTAATTGTTGGTGCTCTTTTCTTTTAAATGCCCTTTCTTCGATTTGCTTGCTTTGTCATTGCAGAAGAAAGACGAAGACGAGACGACCATGATTTAAATGTGCTTCCTGTTCACTACTAAAGAATACCGATACAATTTAAGCTGGAAACAGAAATTACAAACAATTTTTTTTCTTCACTGCGCAGGAGAACGAGTAGTAGTGGTCACTCATGGTGGTGTAATCCAATCGCTTCATAGGTGGGCTTGCCCAAATAAACGGTCTGGCAGAAAGGTACTGAATACTTCTGTCAACATTTTCCACTTGTCTGATGCGGACAACTGCATCTTAAAATCCTGGGGTGATGTTAGTCATCTCAGCCAAATGAAATATCTGAGCACAGGGTTTGGTGGGGATAGAACTTCTGGTTAGATCGACCGGGCTGGATACTGTTCCAGTAGCCTACTAGCAGTGAGCTATGGTAAGACCAAAATCAGTGGGAAGAACTGAGAGATAGCATATATTGATTGTTCGAACAACATGTATTATTTTTCATAATGGCCCAGAAGAGTCCTATCCTATGGTCACGTAACCAAGTGTTTTGGGTGCCCCAATTGTTAGAAATACCCAGTTAAAGATTAATTGTTTGACATTGTAAATTGTGTCCAGCCACTTGATCATTTCTTTTTATTTGTGATAAAACCTCGTATATGGATTAGCATGGACAGGTAATGGTGATTATATCTGATTATATCTTTACTGGTTCTACATTCGTAGTTTTCTTTATGGGTTTGTTCTTGAGCTCTGTGCGTTTGGCAAGCATGGAATGCATTAGGTGAGGTCTGCTTGATTTAGATCTCCCTTGGATGGCTTTTCTGTTTTATCCTTATGCGTGGACGTTTGGTGCTTTTGGTTCACTCGGCTATGTCGGTGGCATTCAGTCCTACCTCCATACATGTGAAAAACTAAGGCCAGTCGAGTCCTAGATAATATGCTTGGATTGTGTTTGAGATCTGGCCAATTCTTGATCATAGGATAAATACCACGAACACATACACGAGTTTTTATTAGTTTTTATTAGTTTCATTACATTTGCTATTTTTTAAAATACAATTTTGCATCTAAAGTCTATTTAGCATAACTAAATGAGAAAATTTTAAATAAGGGCATGAAGTGCCCTCTTCAGTATCGACTGTGCCACGTAGGATAGTTGGTGTTAACTAGACCACATTAGTGATTTTCGGTTAAAATTGATCAGAATGACTAAATTGGCAAATCATCAAAAGTTTTAGAACTAAATTGGCACAATTGAAAGGTTTAAAACTGAATTGGCAAATTATCAAAAGGTTTAGGACGAAATTGGCCAAATTGAAATGTTTAGGACTAAATCGGTATAAATGCAGTAGGTTTAAGACCTTTTTGGTAATTTTCCCATGAGGTATTTTTCACCAAGATAAAAAAATCTATTTATTTTATTTGATCGCTCAACAAATCCCGAAATCATTTTATAAGTAATTCTAGTTTAATTAAAAATCTGTATACATATATGTATATATATAACATGCACCTGATGATATCACCCTGCATACCTAGGGTTGCTAATGTCATGTGTGTATCTTATATTGAACAAGGTAAAAGAGTTAAGAGATCAAATCGATAAAAAATAAGATTAAGAACCAAATTGAATATCAAGCAAAAGTTCAAGAACTAATCGTGCCATTATCCCCTCTTTTTACGATATTACATGCTAAGAGACACTGGGTATCAAAACCTACTGAGAAGCATGCTTTACCGAATTGTTATCGTCTTAAAAGTTATCTTCATTCTTGGTTATTTAAATTATAAGAGTTGTCCAATTAGTGTTCACGAGATTTATTGCTGTTGTCCCCCTACCTTACAAAAAGGTTAGTATTGCACAAGAGTAACACCAGAAGTAAGTTGCAGTAGAGAGAGCATAAAAGGAGTGAAGTGATTGTTAGGGGCATTAAATGGGTGGGTTGGGTCGAAAATAGTCAGATCCAAATTGATCTATTTAACCCATATTAATCCATTTTTATGCAATACAATTTTGATGACCCATACCCGATCCAATCCATACTCGATTCGTCCTATTTTATTAAAACACATAATTTAATCTCTTCGTGTTAATGTGTTTTTCTTGGCTTTGTACACCCATTTGACACCAATCGTTTTCTTGTCCTTCGGAAGATCATCAAGCTCGAATGTTTGGTTTTTCTCAATAGCTTCAATCTCATCATTCATGACTTTCCTCCAGTTTTCTTCTTTGGTGGCATCATCGAAGACAATCGGCTCACAATCAAGAAGGCATACAAGGTGAAGCTCATCGGTGGCTTCATAAAGCTCAGACAATCTCCTTGATCTTGCTAGTATCGGTTTATCAACACCATTTGAAGAAGTTGGTGATGATGGGCTTGACAAAGATATTGGAGAAGAAGGTGAAGAGTGATCCTTCAACTCCGTTTGGCTGGAATCACCATGAGCATTCTCTTCATCTTCTGAATTGTCTTCCCATGTGCCTTCTTCATCAAACTTGACATCTCTACTTATAGGCACTTTCAAAGTGTTAGGATCGAATAATCTATAGGCTTTGGATGAGGAGTCATGTTCGATAAAAAATGAGCTTTTTGCTCGTTTGACATCTTTGATCTTTTCTGGTCCGGGACATGAGCATATGCAATGCTTCAAAAAATTCTCAAATGCGAAACACTAGGTGTTTTGTCGGTCCATGCTTCTTGTGGAGTTACGCTTTGAAGTCCACATTTGGGACATCTATTTTGAAGGGAAGAAGGACATTACAAGTGTCAAAAGTTATGTACGGCGCTCATTTGATGCCAAAAGTTTCTTTTGGATCACTTCAGTGCCAAATTTTTTGAAAAATGATCACTAAAGTGCTAACTCCGATCTAATTGGTCGGAAATCCGACGTGGCTTTTTTTTTTATTAATTTCTGATGCCAACGTGGCTCGTCAGTGGTCCGGTCAACATGTATAGTCAGCATGTACACTTAAAAACGATGTAGTGTAGCTTATTTCCCCTAATAAGAATCCTAAATTCCCAAATTGAAAACCATAGTTGGCCGAATTCACCCTATTTTGGTTTGCCCCCCAAATAAGTGCTCAAGATTGCAAATGGAGGGCAAGAGCTTCAGCAGCGGCTCAAATTCAGCTCAAATTCACTTCGCTCTTTGGTTGCAAGCTGAGTTTCGTCCCGTCTTCCCCCACGATTCTGACTCTGCAGTCACCTAATTCTCTCACTTTGGCTATGAGCAATCCCAAACTCGCCTCACTCTTGCGGTTGTGGTGGTGACATGAAAGGAGGCTCATCACTCAGTCTCTCCCTTCCACCATTATCAAATTGGGGGGTGTGGGTCTGCTTGCTCTCGGGCAATTGAGATGAATTGCCAAGTGATTAACACTTCCTCCCTGTCTCCATCTTTGTGTTCCTCCTCCCGCAATCCCATCCCCAACTCCCCCCGTAAGTCGCTTCCTTCCCGCTCTTCTTTAACTCCCCTCGTTGCTCATGTCGCATAGTTACGCCTCCCCTGATTGCTGCGTTCGCTGATCTGTGGCCACCTCTTGGTCTCGCTGGGCACACCCACCATTGCTTATGCTGCTCTTTGGAAACCCCTTTGGCCTGATGAGTTCTTTTTTCAAGTCCATGTGGACTGCTTTTTAAACAATATACCATGTCACCTTTTTTTAATTATAAAAGTCACGTATTAATTTTGGCCGGAATTTCTCGCCGTTGGCACTTAAATAATCGTTTTTTTTTCAATTTGGCATTTAAGTGATTTGACGAAAATTTTAGCACTAAAGTGAGCGCCGTACACAATATTTGACACTTGTAGTGTCCTTCTTCCATATTGAAGACAGACCGTAAGCATAATAGCTTCACCCCAGAGCTCTTTAGGCCATTTTTTGCTTTTCAACATGCTTCGAACCGTGTCAAGAATAGTTATGTTATTTCGTTCAGCCACACCATTCTGTTGAGGAGAATATGGAGCCATCAAGAAATGCCGAATATCATGATCCTCACAGAATTTGTTGAATGTGACTGAAGTGAATTCTCCTCCATGATCAGTCCTCATAGCTTTGATCAAATAGTCAATCTCTTTTTCAGCTAAGTTCTTGAATTGTTTGAAAGTATCAAACACTTCTGACTTTTCCTTTAAGAAATGCACCTAAGTTTTTTAAGTAAAATCATCGATAAAAGTAACAAAATATCGATGATTACCATATGATTAAGGAATTATTCGCATCAGAATGAATCGGCTCAAGTGGCTTATTTGCTCAATAAGTTGCTTCTTTTGGATAGCTAGTTCTAGAATGCTTGCCAATCTCACACCCTTCACGTAATTGATCTGGATGATCAATATGTGGTAAGCCATAAACCATTTTCTTGCGGGAAAGCAAATTGAGTCAACTAAAATTGAGATGGCCAAATCCCAAATGCCACAACCATGAAGGATCATTGTAACATCCTGAATTTCGATCAATTTCCGGGATCAATGATATTGATATTATTCCTCAATTAATTTTAGTGAGTCTCGCCCGGAATGGATCCTTCACGGGATACTGACCAATAGGAAATGGCTAACTAGGAAAACGGTACGTGGACCAGGGAATCGATCGTGAATCGGGCACCGATTCCGAGAAACGACGAGGAAATATTTTGGGCCAACGTGGGCCGATCCTAGGAAGGTGATGGATTTAGTTTGGCCAATGACGTATGATCGGATCGCGGATGATTCCGCACGGCCGAGAGTACGCGTGGCGAACAAATCCTGAACTAAATCCGAACGATCGCGACCTTCGGAACTAGCGATAAATCCTCGCGTTCTCTCGGTAACCGAGACTGTCACGACCCGAGTAACCCTAGGTCGATACGTGTAACCCCTAAACAGCTGCCCGTTAGTGAGAGACCCTAAAATTGTAATTGAGCGATTTTGATCGCGAAATTGGATCCGGACTTGGCATCGAATTTCGGGGTCGTGTGCGACTATTTTGCGAGGACAACGTCATTTTTGAGTGGCCAAATATATTTGGGGTCGGTACGATCGAAAAATGGAAATTCGGCCCGGGACCGGAAAATTACGATTTTGCCCCTAGGCCTATTTTTGGCATTCCGAATTTGAGGATAATTATGGGACATTATTTTGGCGAAAATAAGTGGATAATATCAGCCCAAAAAGATTGAACCAAAACGCCCTTAGATATTTTGGCTTGGATTAATATGGACCAAGTGAGAGAGGGACAAAATGGGAATTTGGAAAAAGTTGGTCAAAGTCTATTAGAGGCCAATAATGTTCTCTCTCTCCTCATTTCTTCCCATCCAAGCCAACACTCCCCCTCCTCTCCTCTCTCCCTCTCGCCGGCCACCCTCTTCCTCTCTCTCAGCCAAGTTCGCCGACCGCCGGAGCCGCCGGCCGCCGTGCCGCTTGTCCACCGAGCACCACCACCACCCGACCGACCTGTTTTCTCTCTCTCTCCTTTCCCCCTAGGCCGCCGGACCAACCCCTCGGCCGCGTGGAAGGAACCATTGCCGCCGCTCGCCGGACCGCCGTGGGAGAAGCAAGCCGCCGCCGTCGTGAACCGCCGCTTGAGCCGTCCGTTCTCCTCGCCGGTTCAGCCCCTTTGGAGCTTAGGATTAGGTGAGTAAACTATCCCTAAATCCTAATTAGGCTAATTAAGCATTTCTAGATGGGTTTAGGTTAGTTTAGGGATTAATTAGGTTGGAATTAAGTTTGATTAATTGCTGATTGTTGGAGGCTGATTTGGTGATGATTTGGGGAGTCCAATGGAGTGTTTTGAGGATAATTGTTGGCCTAGAGTGAACCGATTCGGTGTCTGTCCATAAGGTGAGCGATCGGACTTAGGTGGATTAATGGGGAGCTTAAGTGTGAATTGGCCGTGAATGCCATGTTGTCCGATTGATGGTTGATTTGTGTTGATTTAGATGCCAATTTCATGATGTCATGTTGTGTATTTATAGTGGCCGAATATGAGGTGGTATAGAGGGCCTCGAATGTGCGAACTTACGTTATGTTAATCGCACGATTTAAGTGCCATTGGTGTGCCGGGTTCAATTTGGACTAAATTGACGAATTGGGAGACTTCATGGGTTATTTTGAAGTTGATTTATAGCCGAGAATTACCGGAATTAGTGGCTGCT